ATATGTGTGTGTGCGTGTGTATTTACATATAATTATATGTATCAAAATTTATTCGTAAATATTTATAAAAAATAGATATCTCACTCACTTCCTAGTTTGCCCCTGAAGAAGAAAGGTCCCCCTTTCGAAAGCGCTCGGGTTATAGGGTTTTTATTTATTTCTATCAAGACGTCTTGAACCTACGTGTTTTTCTAACATCATGAATCACTTACGTTTTCTAATTATTACGTTAAAAGAAAGTGACGTCACCTAGCTGAAAAAGTAAAGAATCCAGGTTAGTGTGGTTTGGGTATCCATGCAAAGCTACACAAGAGCTATCTGTGCTAGCCATCCATAAGTTTGCATTGTTAGACTAGAGGGAAGGCAGCTCATCAACAACACCCATTGCCAACTCTTGGGGTTACTCTAATCGAATATTAGGATTTGATTGTCACTTTTATAACGCCCCACAGCCTGTCTCAAAGTGGGGGGTGGGCACGAGCCATGGACCCTCAGATCCGCAGTCCGGCCTTCTAACCACTAGACCAAGCCCAGCCTAGCCCAAGAATCAGGGAAAAGGCTGTTGGATACAAGGTACTATTAAGTAGTGAAAAATAAATTGACAAATCTGGGAGGAACTCTTTGCATTGCCAAACAATCTTCCGTTAGAAACGAAAATACGTTGATAACATCCTTAAGGAATGCCCGGATGTACAATCAATCTCTTACAAACAAATAAAAACAGAAGGTAAGATAACAACAATTTTATTTACATGAAATAACTGATGGTAGACTGAACTTCACTCAAACCGGAGTGGTACAGATTACATTTCTATGTTGTCTTCTATCTAAAGCTGAAGTTAACTACCAATTTCGACAGGTTTTCCTGCATACAAAAAATGATTATCATAGTACAATATGAATAAAGTGCAAACTAAAATTGAGTTTTAGTATTACATTATTGGCTATGTGTCTTCAATTAGAATCAATCTTTATTATGAACGTAAATATTAAATGAGAATTACAATGTGTTTGTTAGTTACATATTTCACTTTTAGAGTGGACACTTATAAGGATTGAATTATGCTCTTCTTTTTTATGTATTTTTTTCACATTATAAATTTCAGAACCTTTGTTTTGTGTTTCCGAAGAACAAACAAGAACTTGAGATTTTATTGTTTACAAAAGGTCACTTAAGAAACCAGCTTTCAATGAGCTAAGTTATTACCATTTTAGTGTCTATCCCTTTGTTCATTGCCCAGGTGGATACGACGTAATCCATCACGCGCTCGCTAAGTGATTTGGGTAATTCGTGTAGCTTCATGAACTCACGCACGTTATTCAACATTTCGTGGTAACGTGCTGTTACTGACGTCATCTGTTGGATTATAGTGGTCACGTGGCCAAATATAGTAGCATACAGCAACGCTATAATTAATTATAATAATTAATCATAATTCGAACAGAAACTTTTAACTAAAAATATGAATCAGATAGTTAGCTAAGATAATCAGATGTTTAGCTGATATCACAACACATTAAATTTAGCATAAACAGAATATATATGCCAAATAAGACATATTTTATAAGCAAATTTATTCAGAATAAAAACATCCACGAGAAGAATCGTAGATTTTTGTTTCCAATATTTTCATAAATATGATAATAAACATGAGAAACATCATTTTATACATATAGCAATGTTGGATTATGATTAGTACTCACTAGTTATTATTCCACGATACCAACCGTACTCTTTAAAATAATCAATAAACGAAAAGGTCTTTAATACAGTCCGTATTGAAAAAAATAATGGAAACTACAGAATTCTTGGTACAAAATAGCGAAATGATATTGAATTCTTATTAAAACAAATAGTGGAACTGTAAAATCTTGTTACAGAGTATTCATCTTACCTCCTATTATCATCATACATATACTAAAAACTTTTTCGTTGTCCGTTTCGGCTGCCACATTTCCAAATCCAACACTTGTCATGCATGTCATAGTATAGTAGAGGGCAGTAACGTACATGGTACCTCGTGGAGGGCCTCCGATCAGTTCAGTTTCGAAAGATTCGTTGGAAATGTGAAAGTAAAATGGTATTTGAGTAACATTCGAGAGTTTCCACAACCAGCTATATACAAAAGCATTTTCTGCGTCACTGCGACCAAGACTGTACCAAATGCAGGCTAACCAATGAGCAACTAACATGTAAAAACACAGAAGAAGTATCAACATGGCCGCCCCGTACTCCAAGTAACGATCGAGTTTCCGTACAACTCTTCCAAGTCGAAGTAACCTTACGACTTTTAAAGCACTGAACAGGCTCCCAATCCCCTGTTTAAAGATACAAAGTGCAATGAACAGCTATCAAACGTGCGAGTAAAACACAAACTAAAACTTCACGTTTACGAAATTATATACAACTATACAGACAGCTAATAAAACACAAATAAGTAAACAATGCATCAAACCGGTGGCTAAAACTTAGTGCACAAGCCAATAAGGTCTCTTTGAATATTCTTATGATGAGTTGGTGTTAATATGATGTCTGATGGTAATGTAATGTCATAAATTATCACCGATTTTACATTAATGACATATTAACTTTCAATTCATAATGAGATCAAATTGGAGGTTTTGAATTTCAGCTTTAAGTACATTATAAATGATCTATATTTAACTTTTTGTGCTATTAGGTAACTGAACCTAAAGTTTTTCGATGTTGGTTTAAATCACATACAAGACAAAAGCTTTTCTTACATCATCATCTTGATCAAATGCGTTAAAGACGTCGTACGGGAGACAAGATAGAAGATCAATAATGAACCAACTTTTCAGATAATTCATCTTGATGATTTTTGGGTCAGAAACAACTTCTCCGCCTGGACCTACAAAAGTAGTATGAAAGTTGAGGACGATGTCGATGAAGAAGATGACATCAACAATACTATCAAGCACAAGAAAGCTCACGTCTTCATTGCTTTTACTCTTGAAAGCCACGTTGTAGGGCACCATGATGGCGGTGTAGAAGGTTAGACAGAGAATAATCCAGTCCCAGATGGCTTTGAAAGCACAATAATGAAGAAGAATATGTGGAGGGGTCTTGGGAGCTTCTTGACGGTACTGTAAGGTGACATCAGGATTCAGGCTCATCACCTACAACAAGAAAAAAAAACAGTTTAGACTAAGGCTGATTTAGTTGAAGACAAGAATGAAACACAAACGCCTTACTAAACCATTTTATCTTATAACAAAAATATTCCACAGACAAATATTATCAGTGAGAAGTATATATATGTTATTAAACATGATCAAATTGTTTGAACACATGTACTAAACATCCCATTTAGATCTCAGAATTAATTTTAATTAATTTATACTCACAGATATCTTTTCAATTTTTCAAAAGGTCGTTCTCATTTGCTTAGAATATACCTTACACATGTTTACTTCATGTTAAAACAGAAAGGTATGTCTGAAGATGAATACGCTGACTCTAAGGAAGAAATTCTTTCAAGTGATTTAGGTCAGCGGAATATATATCTATGAGTTATTTCCTTTTACACATTTCAGTTTAACAACAATAACCGGTTTTAGGATTTTTCAATTCAAATTAATGTACGCTAAAAATGAAACGTTCCTCATTCATATTCAAACTGTACTTGAACTAACGCACATTAAAAATATAACTTCCCTCATCTCAATTAGTCCACACGTGGACTAATATATACTAAGGATCAAACATTCCTCATCTCATTTACACAACTCGTGAGTTGTTATACACTGAGGACCAAAATTTCCTCATCCCCTTCAAACATGTGAACTGTTATACACTGAAGACTAAAGCTTCCTCATCTCGTGTCAGAAAAGGCTTCAATTAATATTCACCACAGATTTTTTGTTTGTTCTTAAGCACGAAGGCACAGAGTAACTCTAAAGATACTAATTCTTTAACTCACTTCAAACCATATCTGAACTAACGAACACTGAGGATAAAGCTCTATGAGAACAAACTTCAAAATATGTCTGATTAACAAGAGGATAATCAAGTATTCTTAGTGATGCAATCCGTTTTTTAAAATGGTAGGTCTTTTTTTGTTTGTTTTCTTTTGTCTGCATCAAACTGACATTCAACGCACAGGTACTATCCATTGAGTAAATCCAATAACTTTTTGGAAGCCAGAGTTTACTCCATTAATATTTATTCAAATAGTATATGTCTTCCAAAGTGACTTAAGCCAATTTGAGATTTATTAAAGCCTAATGTGTCTTCACCCACTGATGTAAGCTTCCTTAATTAGAAACTTCAACGTATTTCTAATCCGGTTAAACTAACAGTGCTTAAAAAACAACACTACGAAGAAAGCTAAAATGGTTGTTGTATGGAATAAATCAGTAGGAGTACACTAAATCCTTTCTGAAGGACAAATGGTTAGTGACAATAGCTCCATCTTAACAAAAAAGTGGCATGGATTTTTGCAAATGAACACCCTTAATATTTTATTATTTCACCATTTTGAAGCAAACACATTTTTCCATTTTTCACAATCTTACGTTTTTTGTTTTTTACAATTTTTCAAAACAGATTTGGTTGAAATATGTTTTGTTTTCTTGCCAGTATTTCAGAATCACCAGAATGTAACGTCCTTTGCCATCCATAGTCTTTATTCGATTCAATGTTTTTCATTTGTTAAGATTAAATATACATACATCAAGGACGATATTAGTTTCTACTTTTTGTAACTGTTTCATAAATATACATTTTTCTTTTCATTTATTCATAATGATTATCCGATTTAATTTCACCATATGAAAAATTCCTCTCCCTGGGATTGGTACCGCGATGTTGTCATTGCAACATGATGAAAGAATTCACTTAAAATATCATTATTATTGAGACCTGCTTAAAAAAACAACAACAAATAGAAAACATAGGGACTCCTTTGAGTTCAAGGTTATACACATATACTTGGTACATTTAATAACATACATCTAAACATAATCACAATAAATGGCCAGAGAATGTAGTTCAATAACTGTTCCTCGATTTTTGTTTTACTTAGTTTTTAATTATTATTTTTTCTCGTAATTTCATTTTAATATTATTTATATTCTTTTATTATGATTTATTTAATTACACCGAACTAAGTGAGTTACCGTAGCAACGCTTACATAGTATAGAATAGGAATCCTTCGTAAATTGCAACAGTCATGCTACCTTCTATATTGTTGCTCATTGGAACGAAATGGCGTTGCTAAGTTACCGAACCTGTAATTATTTTTCCACGACAGCCCAGTACAATAATTAATCATTAGCAGAGACTAATAAAACGATGATTTCATTTTATATAAACCTCATTAATGATTTTTCTCAAAGAAACAAGAACACAACTTTACTGAACTAGGGCTTAATTAGAAAGGGGCATTCTTTTCACATACAGTATTTAAAACACAAATAATTTTTAAAACATTCCGTTTAATTCAGAAATACCAGATGGAAAGAAAGCATCCATCATGCTCTTGAAGTTTGAAGGCTCAGAATATTAAAACTCTGGGTTCAGTCCCTGATGTAGGCACAGCGCAGATAGCCCATCATGCAGCTTTGTGCTTAATACAAACATAATAACACCAAATATAAATAAGTGCACGGTAATGTTCAAGTGATATGAGTCCTATAACACTGTAACGTATTTATCAAATACATTGTACACGAAACCAACCTTAAGAATGAAGTTATAACGAAGTTGTTTAAACATTTTATTGCACGATAACAATTATTTTTCAAATAGGTCATGAGAAGATGAATACATTTTATTAAACCAATCTGAATACAGGAAATATAATGTTTTCAACGAGATGTATTTTTTACTCTTAAATAGTTATTTTTGCCCTCGGATTCCACAAGTGTTGACACGTTTTACATTTAAAACTCATGAAATAAACTGATATTAAATCAATTATATCTTGTACACCAAAGAAAAATAAACTGATACAACTTTGCGGTGTAAAATAACAAACAGTGCCAATTGAAAGTTCATTGCTATCTTCTTCCGTATAAAAAAATTAAACTATCACTAACAAGACGTTCTATCAAAATATAGGAGATAAGGACCTTTTATCTTCTCTGAACATGTGATACTATCTATGTTTTCTTTCTCATAAAGCCCCCACCCCCAATACCTTCAGGGATATGTTTGGGGACTTATAACACTAAAGCTCAAATTTCGATATTTTTAGTTGGAAATGCGTAGATAACTTATTGCACAGGTTTATTCTTAAACAAAACAAACCCTGAATGTTAATATTATTCTAGATAAGTTATTAATTATTCAAAACATAATTATCAAATAATATTTGTTGATAATCAATTAACTTATTAAAATATAATCCTTTAGACATAGGTTTGTAAGATCAAGACCTGTTCTAACTTTAGTGGGATCTGACCATGAGCTACACAATGGGCTATCTGTGCTCTGTCCACAATAATAACAAAAGTGTGCTTGTATATTATATACACAAGGTTAAGTACATTGTATTAAAACGATTTAGAATTTGTAAATCAGCAAATCACGTGACGAAAAAACCCTTTCTGAATCAAAAACATAAATATGTGTTCAGATCGGGAACTTATAATTTCTAAGACAGGAATTTTTCCTGTTTTTAATGGCATTGGAAAACAAAGAAATACGGGTCACCTTGGGTCAACAGGACCATCCAGAAAGTGATAAACAAAGTGCGGCGTCTTATAACAGGTGAGAATCCACAAGTACAAATATCAGTGCATGACAAATGCCATCCACGTGCCCCAAGTAAAAGTACGCAAAATAATCATAGATTATTTCCGTCTGGAAATGAATCCAACAGGGTATGGGTTCACCAAGATAAGGCTTTCAGTCATACCTTTTGTTCAACCGTCGTATACTTCAAGCAGCTGACAAAATAAAACATGTACTCATGTTATTCCATACGAAGCCATGCCAGTCAATTCTTTTATTTGGACTGTTGAAACTGGCGCTGGAAAATCAACGTTCTCGTACACTAGATGTATTATGGAAAGCAAGACGGAAGGAGTGGTGTGCTTTGAACATGACAGCCTTACTATGATAGTTTTTACAATGGAAACTATATTGCAGATCTATTATCAAGATGTACAGTCGTCAGACAAAGCATGACTGATAGTGGCGACATGGACTGTAACGCATGGTGAGTATTCAACCTCTGTATACACACACACTCACTCATATATATACCATATCTGTTTTAAAATAAGATGCCACACCTTTAGTAGAACATGCTTAATAGGGTGCTCCAAATATACAGCAATTACAAAAAGTTGTTCAAAGGTATGCTCCTTGTACATTTTTCCATTCCACTCATTTTATTCAAACATTTTCATTTTCAGCCCAATTGAAGATGTCAAAGCTGGAAAAAGCACTAAAAATGTTTTCATGTTCAAAAAATCTATCGAAATTTGGAATCTTGTAATTATAAAATTTTTTATTTTAATTAAACGATTATGAGAAGTTGTCTTGCTTTTTATTGGATTTTTAAGTTTTTAATGCAGCTGTTTTAATGTAACAAATAAATTTTGAACGTATAATTTGAATTCACTGCCGTAGTATTCGTTGAATCTTGTTTATACATATTGTTTGGCCGATCCATTGTTCGTCAGTTTTGAGAAAAGTTCAGGATATATAGTTTATGAGAAAACTAGTTCCTGAACTTTTAATTTCCAGAAGACCCTCAGTGGCATGTCTACGTACTTACAACGCTAGAGACCGGGTTTCGATACCCGTGGTGGGCAGAGCACAGATAGCCCATTCTGTAGCTTTGTGCTTTACTTCAAACAAACAAAAGCTTTTAGAATTCCTACAAAAAGAGATGTCCTATGGCTGTTCTTCTATTTAAAAGATGAACCAATGCAGCATGAAAAGCACGTCAACTTTAATGGCGCAGTTACAGACACAGTCGTACTTGAAATTCAAAATCAATGGGACAAAGCAGAAATAGCTACTCAAAGAAAAGACAATGTCAAAGCTAAGAAATGTGCACCTTTATGATGATTATAAAACACTGCAGAAGAGGAAAGGATGCAAATCAAATGAAGTGATGGAAAAATTGTTTGTTGAAGAACTACAAAAGTACTTTTCGTTGCACACCAAGATGCTCAGAAGAAAATAGAAACTGGCTAATTCGGAAACCAGGAACAGAAAAAAGAAGTTTTCGAATTTCTGAAAGCCTTACAAAATCAGAAGAATGTGTCTTTAGTATCAGAAAACAAAGCATACAGCAAGAAAAAATAAAATAAAATGATATAAGAGAAAAAGGTCAGAAGAACAAAAAGAAAGTCTTGCAGCAACTGTCAGTATAAATCCAGAAAATCCCAATTCCGAGCCAGTAAGTTCCACAGACAGTCCAGATACACAGATTGAAAAGGACAGTTTTGAATGTCCATCTTACTCTGATGCTAAGCCTAAGAACACTACATCCACGAGAAAATGGAACTGTTACTTTGGACCTTCCAATCAATCCATTCAGAAGTCCAAAATTTTTTCAGCAACAGTAGATTGCTTAAATTTATCAGCAGGTCAACGAACAACATTCATGGCTGTAATCGTTTTAGAAGATGAGACTGATCTAGATAATGTGATTCTTTCTAAACCGAGTACAAGTAGTGAAGCCGAAAAACAATCGAATGGAGGGTGCCATTGCTATAAAACAAATTTCATTTATTATACCGAATACAACATTGTACTGGATCATAAAAAATGTTCCAGGAGATGAGCAGAGGCCAGCATTTCAATGATTTCAGACGGAACTGGTACAACCCAGGCTAACACAAGTCATACTCTCGCACTCCAGTGGAAAATAGAAAACACTATTGTTATATTTTTTTTCGATACTACTGCTTCAAACACTGGATGGAAGAGTGGCGCTTGTGTGCAGTTAGAAACTTTGTTTTACAAGAAAGTTTTTCACTTTTTTTTTGCTGTCATCATATTATGGAAAGAATTTTGTGTGCAGTTTGGCAAGAATTGTTTGGTACAACATCCAAACCGGACAACCCTGAGTTCAAAGAGTTCAAGAAATGTTGGAAACTTCTTGAGAAACGATAAACTTTTAAGACGCTGCATATCTCTGATCGTCAACTTAAACATCAGAGAGAAGTTGTTATCAACTTTCTCCGAGGAAGATTGACTTTATCTGAAGCTGCCTCGGAAGATTTTCTGCCTCGTGACGATTATCGGGAAGTACCGAGTTGATATTGATTCTCCTAGGATGTCTTTTGGATGGCAAGTGTAATTTACAGTGCTAAGATGTACGCATTTGGTGATCATCTGAATTACGATCAAGCCAAAATGACTTGTTTAATGCTCTCTTCTGTGTAAAAGCTTGGTTATCCACAGTTTCTGCTGCAGACACACCTTCCAATGATCTTCAGCTATGGTATGATCTGAATATATACAGTAGTATTGATCCAACACTGGCAGGAGCAGCCATTACTGCTCTCCACAGCCACCTCTGGTACCTGACGGCACCTTTTGCGCTATTCTCCAACTTGGTGTCAGAATCTGAGAAGAAGTAAATATTTCGTCAACTTATCAAGGTGAAGGACAAAAAAAGGAGTCCCGATTTTTCCACAGCTAGCTTCATCAACTAAATTGACGTCTTTAATTGGCAGAAAATCATGGCTCCTATTCAACCTTCTTGGTATCGATATTGACTGGTTACACTTGCCATCAACACAATGGGCCACTGATGGTGATTTCCAGGAAGCTGCTACGTTTGTTCGCCAAGCAAAAGAGTTAAACGGTCTTTCTGAAAGAGCATTCAAGCTCATCAGACTTTGAAAATACCATAATGAAAGATGAAGAGCAAAGGTAATTCATGCTGCAAATAGTCACTGTCGCAATGTCCCAGATTTCAAAAACAAAACTCTTAAAAATATCTTAATTCTTGTTTTCTGTGGCTGTCTGATTGTCTATACGATTCTGTAGTGTGACTTTTACGTTGTTATTAAAATCATTGATTAAATTGAATATTGAACAAAATATATGATTTTTTTATATGCATTAGTATTTTAGCTATAGATATATTAAATAGTGAACCACCATTTGAAATGATCCTTTTTCTAGTGGCAAGCCTTTTAATGATCTTTCAGAGCTCAAACATGACTCTAGTCACTTAGAACGATCAATGTAATGGAAAAATGCTCAGGTAACGATTATTTTTTAAACTTTCAATTTTTCGGAGCACCCTAACGCTTACGGATCTTTATGAAATTTCGTTTACACGGGGAAATTAAAACATTGTTTAGCTATTCATAAATTAATTTTGAGCTTTGCTAGTTAGAAACATTTATCAATTAATCCGAAGATAAGTTATTGTCAAGACAGGCTTTACTAGTGGTCAGCGTGCCTGAAGTGTGAACTGGGGGTTTCTTAAACAGTGAGTCGCGCGCTGTCTGTGCTGAGTCAACATTTTATTTAAATAAATAAAATTCCCGTATTTTTTCATTCTTTTATAAATAATAGGTGTCGCAACGACCAAAGCTCAAACGTGGGTATCGTCTGACATATCCGGCTAAGAAACACTGGTCTAAATTCTCGACAAAATAATTCGTCATTTTATCCCACGTGGAAAAAACACAGAAAAAAGGGAAACGTTCTATTCTTAGTGTAAGTTCAGGTTAACTGAGGTATTATAAAATAAATACATAGAGAGGTACTATAGGGTGGAGCAGAAATTCCAGAAAACTACATTGAGAGGTACTATAGGGTGGAGCAGGAATTCCAGAAAACCAGCCCCCCCCCCAGTGGCACAGCGATATGTCTGCGGACTTACAACGCTAGAAACCGGGTTTCGATACCCGTGGTGGGCAGAGCACAGATAGTCCTTGTGTAGCTTTGTGCATAATTAAAAACAAACAAACCAGAAAACCACATTGAGAGATACTATAGGGTGGAGCAGGAATTCCAGAAAACCACATTTTGTTTAAGTTATTCTCGATGTATGTCGTGAAAATTTGAACAGTTACTGCTATAAGAGCATGATACTTCTGCCCATAAAGTGTTTATATCTGTGATATTATTAGGCCATTTTTTCGCGTAAAATAGAATACTAATGGAAGATTTTTAACATAAGTAAAAAAAAATTACTTATCAGTAAAAAGACTTATTTATATAATAACTTTGGTGAAAGAAATTTCTTTTCAGAAATCTCGTAAAACGAATTAAATGATTTCAGTATTACTCATTTTAACATTTCTATTATCCTATACATTTCAAATTTAAATAGAGAAATTTTAGAGAAAAAAGCAAGAAATTTTATCGAAGTCTTAAATACATTTTTTTAAATCATGAATTTTATTTTCACAAATACAAAGCTGTGTTATGCATCATAAAGTCCAAGAAATCCTAATGTTGATCAACAATTTACAAACATTATTTCATAACTTGAGACAATAGAATTGTTTTAGTGATGACAAAACGATCAAACAAAACTATAAAATGCAAAATAAAGATTTTTATATCCAGAGACAACATTATGGGTTTCTGTTTTTAAGGTCAACAGAATAACAATATCGATCTAATGAGGTACTTTATCCTTTTTTCCCAAATAGCATTATCTTGCTGAAAACACGTAATAGTCTAGAAAAATCACTGAAACTGTAGAGATACTAGAAAAAACGTTTTCTTGTTTAACTGTTGCTTTAACATTCAAATGTTCAAATATAAGTTGAAGGGGGTGCGAAACGTAAAGGCTTACGAACCAATATAATATTAGGAGTATTGACAGAGTTTAAATTCTTATCATTATCTTATGTGAAATTTAAAGCAATTGGATGATATAACTAAGTATACGTACTTTTACCTCTTATACAATAATATAATTTCTTATGTATTATAAAGTTTTGTAACACAATTTTTATTTAGGTATTATAGATCAGTTACAAATGCATAACGGCGAAACTACCTGGCCCAGTTGTGACTGTTTTGCATTCTCCGACTTTACAACAGGTAGATGTGATGAAAACTGCTGAACAATGACAGAGCGACTCCTGGTGACTGATCTGGCTAAACGGGCAAACTTGCTCAAGCCTGAACACAACGAAATGATTTTTTTTAAAAGAGGAGTTTTGAAAATATTAAAAATGTTTTCATATATGATCAATCTAATTATAACTCAAAATAAAAAGCTTGATAGATATAAATTTATTTATGATTTAAATTAGCAAAGGCAGTAGTACAGGGATACTTTATGCATTTCATAGAAAAATTGAGGATAAAAAATATCCAAGCTTATAAGTATCCCTTCTTTTTAAATAATCTTCTGACAAAAGCAAATCTCTTGGAAACAGTTGTGCTGTGAAATATTTCATACACTTTCAAATGACACAATCTTGTTTGGCCCTACGTCACAATGTTTCTTTTTACACGTGCTATATAAAATAAATTCATGGTGGTAACTCAAAGAAGAAAATGTATACTTAAAATTCATAAATAATCTAGAACTTTAAAACTTTAAAGTTTATATAGTTATGTTCATTAAACATTGTTACAAAACTAATATAATATGTATGTGTGTGTAAAAGTATAATATTACAGATTTATATGTTACGAATCTGAAATTAGCTTCTGCTGAGAACATCTAAAGACACCACTCATCAGAACTGTACTTTTAGCAGCTTCGTCTTCCAGAGGCTGCTTTAGAGCCGTGATGTCCCTGAACGTCAGCAGAAACAGCACCACAACGTCCTTTTCATTTTTTATAGGTGCAATGTGAAGAAGAAGCCATAATGGTGTTCCTGAAAACAAAAATCAGAAGTAGAGGTAAGACACGTAATTCTCAATGACAGAACATCATTCGACATCAATAATGATTGAGGAACTTCTAATTTTGTGATGCTTAAGATGTGCCTAGAAGTATCTGTGTTCACTGTAGCAGCACGATAGGAGTTGAAAATAGCTGCAAGTCTTTATTTGTTCGTAGTTTTATTTGATTTATATATATATATATAGTTGTAGCTTTAAGGAAAGAAAAAATTAAAGAAGCAATAGCGAAAGTGAATGATAAAGAAAATAATTTTTACCACTAAGTCAGGAAAAAATGAACGCTTAAAACGAAAAAAAAATTAACAGAAGTATGAAGACAACATCGAGAGTGATTGAAAGTTACTTTCCAAACTTCTCATAAACCAAAATATTTCTTTAATAGTGTTAACCTAGTACAAAAAAGGCGGGTTGGAAAAAAAAGGAACTGCATTTTGAGGTAAAAGTCTGTAACATATACTACTTTGTGCATTTGAGTATGCTCAATCTGAAAATATAGGTTACCAAATTTTCTCGCTCCTCTGCATAATTCTAAATTTCATTTAAAGCTAGTACCTGTAGCTTACAAGATATGAATATTTACACATTGAATAATACCCACACAAGTCCCATTAATTTACCTAAAGGATCAGTTAACATGAAAAGAGAAATTATAAATTAATTATCAAAATTATGTTAATGGGTGCATCATGTTTCAATAGAGTGCATGGGGACTTACGAATCAGGCGTTTTAGCAGGTGTTTTGATAGGAACATCTGCTGCTGGAGACATATAATCAACTATGCATTTTGTTGCGTTGATATAAGTTAGTTTAGTATTCTTCACATATATATATATATATTGAAAGTTTGCTACTTGAAGAAAACGGTGACATCTGTTAGCCAGTGATTAGGTTGAGTGATCATATCACAGTACTGTAATTAGACTGAACATGAGTACTTGATACGCATTCTATCTGAGCAGGTGACTCATATCAGTTTACAGTAGTATAAATTGTACAATCGGTTTGGATATAATGCTGTTCTGCTCATATGCAATTAATAGACAGAAATATGAGCTAACTGTCTAAATTATAAAGATTTTACTCTTCTCGTTTCTAAAGAAATAAAAACGAAATAAACATATCAAATAAAGCTACGTTTTATAGATCGCAGTTTGGAAATCATTACTATCGGTGCATAAAAGTTTGTAACATACTTTAAATGCAAGAAATACCGTCTTTGTTGGCTGAAGTACGTGGATGCTAGAAACACGAGAAGGAAGTTGGCTGAGTAAACATGATGTGGGGGTTTTAAATAAATAATTACTATGTATGCAAAAATATAATAAACTAAGTGTAAATAATTACTATGTATGCAAAAATATAATAAACTAAGTGTAAATAATTACTATGTATGCGCAAATATAATAAACTAAGTGTAAATAATTACTATGTATGCGCAAATATAATACACTAAGTGTAAATAATTACTATGTATGAACAAATATAATAAACTAAGTGTAAATAATTACTATGTATGCACAAATATAATAAACTAAGTGTAAATAATTACTATGTATGCGCAAATATAATACACTAAGTGTAAATAATTACTATGTATGAACAAATATAATAAACTAAGTGTAAATAATTACTATGTATGCGCAAATATAATACACTAAGTGTAAATAATT